ATTACTAAATAACAAAAAGTATTTAGGGTTTCACTGGTGGATTTTTTAAATTGTAAGGTGTTTTTAGTGTTAGGTGCATGTGAACTTTTTCCTGCTTGGTTAGACAAGTAATGAATATAGTAATTATCACTAATCCTGGGTCTTCCAAAGAACATCCGTGTTAGGGAATTTTAAAATGTTAGTTATCCTAGTTACTTTTCTCCTAGAGAATAATATTAACAGAATTTTGTGAGAGGATAAAGACAGTTCCCACTGTTGAGAACAGAGCCTGGCATGGAAGTCTTGATGATCTTTTAATGAATGAATGAATATGTATTTCTGAATACCTTAATAAATAATCATTTTGGAGAGTGTCTTCAGTTTGAATTTTAATGTTATGTTCTCTGCCAAGCTATTGAATACTCCACTGTTGTTTATTCTGTTATCTACATCATTAATAAGATAGTATAGATATAACTTTAACAGCTGCTGGACTCCAATACAGTCTTTTCTTCACCTACAGATATTGAGCCTGATAACTTCTTTTTGTATATATAGCCTTCTAATCAATTTACTACTAATTAGGAATCAAAATAAACTTAATTATATTTACCAAGTTAAATGATGAAATGGACTAAGAGCATTACTGAAGCCTCTTTTCCACATTTTTCTCTTCTATTGTAGAAGGTAATGAAGCTGTCAGTATTTGTTTTTTTATGAAGTTTATTTCTCCTTAGTACAATGATTCTCAAAGTGGAGACTGCAGGCCAGCTAATTAGCATCACCTGAGAACTTGTTCAAAATGCAAATTCTCAGGCCCCACCCCAGGCTGATTAAATTAGAAGCTCTGAGGTAAGGCTCCCTCTCCCCTCCCCTCCCCTCCCCATCCCTGTCCTCTTCCCCTTCCCTCTCCCCATCCCCTCCTTCTTCCCCTCCCCTCCTTCTCTTTCCCCTCCCCCTCCCCCTCTCCAGAATAGGGAGAGAGAGAGAGAGAGAGAGAAGCATTGATGTATGAAAAGAGCATCAATAGGTTGCCTTTTATATCTGTCCCTACTGGGGATTGAACCCACAACCTAGGTATGTGTCCTAACCAGGAATTGGACCAGCAACCTTTTGGTGCACAGGATGACATTCCAGCCAACTGAGCCACACCAGCCAGGGCCCCTGCAATCTCTTTTAAGTGTTCTCTAGGTGATTCTGATGTATGCTAAAATTGAAAACCATTAATAGCATTTTGAGCTCTCCCATTTAGTTTCTTATAACTTGTTGAAGATGTTTTTTTCCAGACTTCTTCCCAAATGTTTACTCAACCTTATTATTTCCAGATTTTCAGTTAATGCCTTTTCTTCCTTTTAATACCTTCACCTATATCCAATTTTCAAACATTTAAGAAAGTGTAGTTATTTTTTGCATATAGTAGATTTGGTACCCTGACTAAACCACCCTTAGAAACAATTGAAAAGCTAGATAGTATTGTAACTATAGTTAATAACATATTGTATACTTGAAATTTGCTGAAAGAATAGATATTAAGTGTTCTCACCATGCACACGTGGGCACACACACATACATACACACACAAAGTGGTAACTATGTAACTTCATTGTGGTAATCATTGCACAAGGTATACTTATATCAAAACACCACATTGTATACCTTAGACAAAACTCCTTAGGCTGAACATATGTCATGGATGTTTATGACCCAGCCATTCTACTGGAGGCTGGGTGGGGTGAGGTGGGAATATATTAAATAGAAATGCATACAGATATCATTCAAAAGACATGTACAAACATGTTAATAGCAACAGTATTCATAATTAAAAACTAGAAACAACTTAAATGGATACATAGTGGTGGTATGTTACTATAATTATATATTATAAGATAAATGAAAATGAGTGAACTATTGCCACAACATGGATGAGTCTCACAATCATAATATTGAAGGGTAGAAGTCAGACAGGAATAATACATGATGTATGATTCAACTATATATAAAATTTTCAACAACAGGCAAAACTAATCAAAGGTTTTTAATCTGGTGATAGAAACAAGATAGTAGTTATCTGTGGTTGTGGGCAAAAATTTAGTGATGGGGGTGGGGGAGAGCTGGGCAGTATGGAATGCTGGTAATGTCTTTCTTCAACTGGGTGTTGGTTACCTTGGGTGTGTTCACTTTGTAGAAATCCATTAAACCAAACATTTACAATGTATGTATTTTTCTGTATGTATGTTTTTCTTCAATAAAATGTTGATTTAAAGAAATGGTAATGTCTTGTAGGTGAAAGAGACCCCAGGGTAGGTGGGAAACTAAAAGGCTGTATATATTTTTGTCAGATGACTGGTCAAATTGTGTCCATGGACAAAAATACTGTCTCATTCAGAAATCAAACTTATGACCTAGACTTTATTCATCTCATGTTCTAAATTAATGATTTCCAGTTTATCATGAATCTCGTAAGTAAAAAATGTATTGATCATTTATATGTATATATTGAAAGGGCGAGGACTACACCCTCCATCTTACCCTGGGTCCTCCATTTTTGGGCAGAGCCATGTTCTTGGCAAGGCTTCTTCCCAGAAGCCCAGGCCTCTGCTAGCCACACCCAGGATTTCTCTGGACTAACCAATGATAATCAAGGGAAGTGCACGCCATGGAGATGACCACATCCTGTGTAATGAGACACCGACTCGCACCTGGCCAGTCGGTGTGGCCCACAGTTCCCTCTCCTGCCCTTACTCCATCCCCCTATAAAACTCCTCGTCCCATCAGGCTTCGCGCTCTCTCGGCCACTTGGCTTGCTGTTGTGTCGGTGAGTGTGGTGGACGGGGAGCTCAAGCTAGCTTGAAATGAAGGACTCTTTGCTTTTGCATCGGACTCGCTGGCTCCCTGGTGGGCCCTTGGGAATCTTGAAATCTGGGCACAACATATATATTTATAACTTATCCTCTAATAGTTTATATATATATATAAAACACATATCAAAATAAAAAGGATGAGCTAAAGATGAAAAATATATTCTCAGTTTTCTTTTATTTATTAATAATATAGAAAGTAAAGTGATAGCTTCATTATTCTTTAAATTCTTGGTTTAATATTTTGTGATACACCTATTCAGTTTCTAAATTCAGTTTGTTTTGATACTTGGATTACCAGACAAACTTGAGGTACACATATCCCACTTTAGAGACCACTGCTCTAGACAACTGGGATAACTATCGAAACTAGCCTTTAGTTAAAACAAAAGCAAAGCAAAAAGTAATTTGTTTTCCTCTATAAATTTGTGTTTGGGAGACAAAGGTAAGAAGAATCAGCTTTGGCTTGAGGTTTGAAGAATGGGCACTGTAGTTATAAAAGACTGACTATGAGTGACATATTTCACTAACTAGGAAACCTGAGAGAATGGTGGAAGGTTGTTGGTTAATAAATACATTATATGGAGGAATGTTTGCTAGTCACTGTTGATCAAAAGATTGTTATGCCCTGTTTTTAAAAAATGTAATCCTGTAATTATCTTTGTTGGGAGATATTTGGAATTTGGTTTTTCTCAATCTGTAAGATACATGGCTTAGAGCCACTTGGGATCTCTTATAAAACTACTAGAGTTCCGGTGCACAAAATTCGTGCATGGGGGTGGGGGTGGGGTCCCTCAGTCCTGCCTAAATCCTCTCCAATCCAGGACCCCTCGGGGGATGTCCGACTGCCGGTTTAGGCCCAATCCCGCTAAACTGACAGTCGGACATCCCTCTCGTAATCCATGAGTGCTGGCTCCTACCCGCTTACCTGCCTGCCTGCCTGATCGCCCCTAACTGCCTCTGCCTGCCTGCCGGATTGCCCGTAACTGCTCCCCTGCTGGCCTGATTGCCCCCCACTGCCTCTGCCTGCCTGCTGGATCACCCCTAACTGCCTCTGCCTGTCAGCCTGATTGCCCCTACCTGCCCTTCTCTGCCAGCCTGATCACCCCTAACCGCCTCTGCCTGTCAGCCTGATTGCCCCTACCTGCCCTTCTCTGCCAGCCTGATCACCCCTAACCGCCTCTGCCTGTCAGCCTGATTGCCCCTACCTGCCCTTCTCTGCCAGCCTGATCACCCCTAACCGCCTCTGCCTGTCAGCCTGATTGCCCCTACCTGCCCTTCTCTGCCAGCCTGATCACCCCTAACCGCCTCTGCCTGTCAGCCTGATTGCCCCTACCTGCCCTTCTCTGCCAGCCTGATCCCCCCTACCCGCCTCTGCCTGCCTCTCCAATCCGGGACCCCTCGGGGGAAGTCCGACTGCCGGTTTAGGCCCAATCCCGCTAAACTGACAGTCGGACATCCCTCTCGTAATCCTGGCTCCTAACTGCCTGGTTGCCCCAACTGCCCTCCCTGCCGGCCTGGTTGCCCCTAACCACTTCTGCCCCAGCCCCCGCCACCGTGGCTTTGTCTGGAAGGATGTCTGGTCTAATTAGCATATTACCCTTTTATTAGTATAGATACTTTTTATGATACCCTTTATCAAACTTATTGAATCTACTTCATTGTGTTTGAATCAGTTAAAATTCTCTTTGAAGAGGTGGAAAACCAATTCAAATAAGCTTGAGCAAAAAAGAGAATTTATTGGCTTATAACCAACATTCAGGACTCAAGGACTTTAACTTGGTTGTCAGGTCTCTGTTTCAAGGTGTTTATTTGTGTCTCTGTTGCCTTTGCTTTCTTTGTGCAGAAAGTCCTCCTTTGTGTGGTGGTGAGGCAAGGGAGAATTCCTTTCTTTTATTCCAGGTCTACATAAGGCTCCATGGGTGGAATAGGACTCTATGTGGCCATATGTGTGCTGTGATTGGCACACCCACAAAAGCATGTGGAATGAGGAAGGAACAGTTTTTCAAAGGAAGGGTTTGCTATTATCAAAAAGGAAGGGGTGCTGGGAGTAAAAACAATAGGTGTTTACAACAGGTGATGAGGAATGGAGGACAGGAAGGCATAAACTGTCTTTAAGGTTATAAAAGATAATTTCATTTTCCTAATCATTGCTTTTTATAGAGTATGCAAGCTGCGAGATGTCCTACAGATGAATTATCTTTAACCAACTGTGCAGTTGTGAATGAAAAAGATTTCCAGTCTGGCCAGTGAGTACCTAACTTTGTTTTTCTTCTAACCTGCTAGATGGTATTTTAGAAAGTTCTAGAGAGCCCTTATTTTTTAGTTAACTTGAGAATAATTTTTTATTCCTCTTGCTGAGTTAGAAAATGGAAGAGATGAGAAAGTTATGTATTTCAGTCTTAACTGTGTTAAACTTTCATAACTATAACATTTTTAAAAGCATATATTTTTATAACTTTTTTAAAAATCAATTTTCCTAGCAGAACTAAACATACTGGTCATATGAATCATATATAGCATTGCCATAGGTTTTTTGGCTCTAAAGTCAGGTTGTCTGAGTTTAGATTCTGACTCTGCCAATTATGAACTTGGTGACCATGGGTAAGTTACCATCTTTGTGTCTCTGTCCCAATCTGTAAAATGGGAATGATGATAATTGTAAAGATTGAGTTATACAAATAAAGCACATAGGACATGCCTAGCACATTAATAAGTCCCCAATAAATATTAGCCTTTTTGATCAGTGATGCTAAGATATTTAAAAGGCATGAAAATTCGAAGATGTACAATCAATATAGAATCTTTATAAGCATTTTTAATTGTCATTTATTTTAACTGATTCATGTCACCCCACTGCCAGAACTTCTACAGGCCCTGCCACCAAGTTCAGTGCCCTCCATATGTTTCTGAGGTTGACAGAGGTAAGGGGCTGTACCAGAAGGCAGACTAGGGAGATAAGGAATAATGAAGCAGGGTTTTAACTGAGCCTTTATTTGTTTGTTTTTAATTTTTCTGTGAAATACATGAGTTTCTCAGGGTTAGAATTGGTAATAATCTGTTTTTTTCAGCTTCAGAATAAGGATCTGTACTACATGATTATATTAATATTGTTTTCAGTCCTAAAATTCTGTGAGGCTCAGTTGAACACAGAACTCTCCACATATAAACTGCAGTATGGATAATCAGTGTGAGGATTTTTTTTTATGGAATTCTTTTATATATGTCACATGTTCACTGTGCTCATGAAGGGGGTATTTAAAATATAGTAACTATAAGGAACTTGTGTTTTAGTGGCAAACTGATATGTATGGAAACATTAACCATTAATATTAAGAAAAAAATATATGGCTTTCTAAAAGGTAATTTAAAAAAGATAGCACATAACAGTTTGAAGCTTCTATCTCATACACAGTTCTTGGTAGTTTCTTGGTATAAAAGATTATCATGAAAGGACTATATTTTATCTGTTTATAGATAACTTCTGAGCAGGGCGAATTAGCATAAAATGCTTTGAAATAGTAAATATTAATATATATATGAAAACTGATATATTTTGTAAAAATTTTTTACCATCTTTTTAGGTTATTGCTTCTTCAACCTATTGTGAAAGTCTGCAAAGAGATTTAAACACTTGTCCTGAAAACTAACTTTTTTTTTACTGCCATATCGGTTCTATCTTTGGTTCTCCTCCCTTTATTCTATTTTGAGGTGAAATAATTCTCAGGAGAGCAAATTCACATAGTTTTTACTTAATATTAAAGACTAAATGACTGTTACCAGTTTTAAGTAAACTGTATAAAAAACGGTTATCAGTTTATGTAAACTGGAAATGTAATGAAGTTTATATTTTGAGTGATATATACTCTCTTGAACTTGGTCCTCATTCTGCTTGATGTGTGTTTGGCTCAAGGTGTTCCTTATGCCTGGAAAACATTTTGACTGGCTCACATTTTTTTTTTTTAAATATATTTTATTGATTTTTTACAGAGAGGAAGGGAGAGAGATAGAGAGTTAGAAACATCGATGAGAGAGAAACATCGATCAGCTGCCTCCTGCACATCTCCCACTGGGGATGTGCCCGCAACCCAGGTACATGCCCTTGACCGGAATCGAACCTGGGACCCTTCAGTCCTCAGGCCGACGCTCTATCCACTGAGCCAAACCGGTTTCGGCTGGCTCACATTTTTTAGAAATGAAATTTGTGCTCCTAGTTTTTCAGGACTGTCATATAATGCCATTTTCTTGCCTGGTACTCATCAAGTCTCAGTTGTTGGAAATGAACACATTTGGAAATGGTATTCTTCATCTCCTTTGACATGGAGTCCTGCCTGTGTTTCTGTCTTTTAGGCATGTGGTTGTGAGGACCTCTCCCAGCCACAGGTACACATTTACACTGAGGACCCACCCATCAGTGGTTCCAGGGAGCATTGCATTCAGCTTACCTCAGGTAACTCAGGTGTTAATTTATTCTCTTCCATTCCTGAAGGTTGTAGAGGCAGCAATCCATTTAAAGCAAGCATCACTCTTCCTATAACTATTGATCCACACTGAAGAAAAACATCTAGATAATATACTGGGAATTTAAAGATATATCCTTAATTGCCAATTTTACTGTGTCTGCCTTTTATTACCTTGATTTTTTTCCTAATTTTAAAAAATTCTGCAGTATTATCAGTTAGCTATCAGATAAGGTGCTAAGTTATTTTAATGTTAACTTCCACGGTAACAGAGAAGATATAAAAATAGCATTTATTTATAAAATTGACATCTATTAATAGTGATTTTTAAATGCATTGATGTCAGACTAAAGAATATGATATGAGTAATTGTTATCTCAAATTACAACCTAACTTGCTGGGGTCCAGTAATGACTGGAAGGATAGTGATCACATTTGTAACTGTTGGTGGATTCTGCAGAAGGAAAATTGCCTAGCACTGTTCCAAACATATAATCCATAATCTAGGAGCACCACAGGTACTAGTCTGTGTTCTATTGTTCCTTATTACCTTGCTTATGCTGCTGATCTCACAGTCTTAAGCATTGTAAATACTACCCCTCCTCTTTCTAATAAGCAGTGATTTACTCATGATTTCTGACTATTTCTCCTTGTCTTCTTGCTGTTAAAAAGAATTTCCCTCCAACATTTACTGTAGGCCAGATATTATTCTAAGTAACTTTTGCATGTATTTGCTCATTTACTTCTAAAACAACCATATACTATAGATATTGTTATCATACTTTGAGGCCATCTTTGGAATTGAAGTGCAGAACCTAAACATGGCTTCTCTGTGACCCCAAGTCTGGGCTTAACCAGCATGCTGCTAAATTTCAGGTTGGCTGTGTGTGGGATGGGATATTACAGAAGAGGGGTGTGAAGGGCAGAGAGGAGGGAGAGTGACCTATGATGTAAGGGAGAGCACTTAATGTACACATTTAAAATTCAGCATCCTCTTAGCTATCCACCACAAAACCCACAATGTTCAGATGAGTAGACAAACTATTTATTTTCAGCCAAAAATTATTTTTCTCACTGTTCTTTGGAGTGTTATCAATGGTTACTAATTTTAAATCTATACCAAGCCAGTCCCGAATTCCTGCCTAAACACAATCTGGGTCTGCCTCCATACATTATTGCCATTGTAACCATTCTCGACCTGGAGAGAAGCTGAAGTCTGGCTGCAAATGCCTGAGAATCCTTTGGCTGGTACACAGAGACTAGCTGTGGCCATCTATGATTTGAATCCCTGCTTGGGTTTCAGTATACATTGTCTGACCAGTTTTAATTTGGTTTTTATGAACTAAATGTTTTTCTTTCTGTGATACTGTCACAAACAGTGTAACTAACCCCAGTGCATTTAGATACTGAACTATCTGATACTACAAAGAGCTTCAGGAGAGTTATACTACGCAAATGAGCATCTACTCAGTGGTGCCGGCTTTACTGTAAAAAGGCAAGCTTTGTGTGTTTTGGGATGGATGTGCATAAGTTTCCTAGACTGCTGTCACAAGTTATACCAAGAACTGGGTGGCTGACAGCAGCAGAAGTTTCTTCTCACGGTTCTGGAGGCGAGAAGTCTGAAATCAGTGTGTCAGCATGCCACACTCTCTCTGAAGGCCCTTGGGGAAATCTGTTCCACCCTTAGCTGCTGGTGTTGCTGACCATCCTTGTTGTCCTTTGACTGGTAGATGTATCACTTCAGTCTCTGCCTCCTTCGCCTTATAACTTTCTACCCATGTATCTGTGTGTCTTCTCTTCTTATAAGGACAACAGTCATCTTGGCTTAGAACCCATTCTAATTTGATATAACCTCATCTTAACTTGATTCCATGTGCAAAGAGCTTATTTTCAAATACAGTCACATTCACAGGTGCCAGGATGAAGACTTCAACATATCTGTTTGTGGGACACAATTCAACATAAAAGAATATACCATGTTTTGGTCTTTGAATGTGTTCCGGAAATTCCTCATTTATCTAATTTTGATTGATTTGACTTTAAGTGTCTATTTTTTTTCTCTTTTATTTTACAGCGAAAATGGGCTGGACTTTCTATTGGGCAAGATATAGAAGGTAGGTAATATTTTAGCTACCTGAAGGAGATTTTCTTTATGATTTTCTCATAGTTCTGGAGATCTGTACAATTTCCTGTTACTGGTTGTTAGGTCATTGCACATTCATTATAATCTTACTAGAGGCCCAGCGCACAAAATCGTGGGTGGATAGGGTCCCTAGGCCTAGCTTGCGATCAGGGCCATGTTCTGCCCGTTTGCCAGTCCCCAGTTCCGCCCTGCCCCCACCACCAATCGATTGGAGCCTGGGGCCTAGAGGAGGAACCAAGATGTCTGCCTTCCACCCGCTCGCCAGTCCCCGCTGTGCCACTCAACCCAGTTTCCCTGTTAGCCATCCCCTGATCAATCGAAGCCTGAGGGCCGGCGAGGGGGAGGGACCAAGAGGTCTGCCTTCCACCTGCTCGCCAGTCGCCACTGCTACTGATTGATTGGAGCCTGGCCGCCCTGATTAGGGTGTTGGGGGCAAACGGGCCTAGATCAGGCCGGTTCGCTGGCCACAGTGGGCGTCATAGTGACCCGTTGTTCGGTCATTATGTTCGTGATGGCATTATGGTCTCTGGCTTTTTATATATATAGATTATTGGTTAGATCTATGAAACTGTTGTTTTGAGGAAGATTCAGAGGCCTTTTGGAAGTGGCAGGGGGCTGTGATTTCCCCACAAGAGTTGGGTGAGGGAGGAATAAAAGTAGAAGGAGAGTGTTGTTCAGTGTGTTGGAATTGATTCAGATGGGGAAGAACATCTCTAGTGATTATTACTAGGTTTTAAAATCTGTGCCTGTGTCTCTTAATGAAAGTCATGTAAAGCCCCTCTCTTTACATGGGAGAGATAGAAACATAAATGATGAGGGAGATTCTTCTATTGGCTGCCTCCTGCACGGCCCCCACCCAGGATTGAGTCTACAACCTGGGCGCGTGCCCCTGACCGGAATCGAACCTGGGACCCTTCAGCCCACAGGGCCCTATCCATTGAGCCAAACTGGCTAGGGTTGTAAAGCCCCCTTTTGGTTAAGTTCTGTTAGGATTCATTTTGGCGAAACTTTTAGTTACTTGGAATATAGCAAGTATCTGGTGTCCCTGTGATTTTTAAAAATGCTTCCCCTTTTATCCTAGTGTCCTTATATACGTTTGACAAGACCAAACAATGTGTTGGCACAATGACCATCGAGATTGATTTCCTGCAGAAAAAAAGCATCGACTCCAATCCTTAGGATGCCGACAAGATGGCAGGAGAATTTATTCAACAGTTCAACAACCAGGCATTCTCAGTGGGACAGCAGGTAGCTTGAAATTTTCTTTCCTTGCTTTCTCTTTATAGGCATTCTAATCCCTGCAGTTGTCCAAAATTTTTTCTACTTTAAAAAACTGAGAGGAGCTTTACATATGAACAGATGTATCTAAGATGAGTGTAACAAGTGAGGGAAATGTTTAGAAAAATTCTAAAGACACCTTAGGTTACAATGTAATGTATAATTACAGCAGCTTTTCCATTTGTAAATTGGGAACATACATGTCTCAAATTTCTTCTTTGCTTATTGTGGGGCATTTGTTTAGTCTTTGGGTGCCTTTCTCTTTAATGATATATTTCTGTAGAAAGGTAGTTCTTAACTTTTTTTGGTTATGAACCTCTTTGAGAATCTTAAGGAAATTATGTATGTATATTTTCAGGTTTTTCATAGAACCTCTGAAGCCCTGATTTTTCTCTTTTTTAAAATGGTATTGCTGATGATGGCTGTTTGTTTGGACTTCACCTAATATCATATCATTAACTTCCTAGGAAGAAATCTGTCCTTTTAAAATTGTACCTTAAAAAATATGTGAATTTATAAATTGCTCTTTGTTTGTACACATCCTATATAATAAAGAGCTAATATGCTAATTAGACCGAACAGCAGAAGGACCGTCTGGACGACCATCCGGATGACCTTCGGACAAAGCTGGGGCTGTGAGGGCCGAGCCTCTTGCACGAATTTCATGCATCAGGCCTCTAGTAAATACATAAGTAATTATTGCTCCTTTGCCCTTACATTAGTTCCCTTCTTTGTGACTTTTCCTAACCATTCCTAATTCCTTCCTCCTATCATAGCTCCATAGCCATGGTCCTCAAAGTGTGGTCCTAAGGCCCCTGAGGGTCCCTGAGGCTCTTTCAGGAGGTTTGCAAAGTCAACAGCTATTTTCATATTAATACTAAGACATATGTGTCTTTTTCCTCTTATTCTGTTGTTCGGCCTAATTAGCATATTAGCTCTTTATTATATAGGATGAGCAAATGGTGCAGTTTTGTAGATATGTGCTAGTGCAGCACATCAGCTGCTAAAACAGTCATGGGGGCCAGCTGTCTTCCATTAAAGAGATTTGTGAAAAAGTGACTGTCGCTCTTCCAACTTGTGTGTTTTTTATTTTGGACAGTAGAGAGTATTTTATAAACTAAAAACGTTATTTTTGTTAACACATCATGGATTTATTAGTTAATTTTAGATTAATAAATAAAATTTAAGTTCTTTTGTTCTAATTTCTAATATAGTAAATATCAATAGACATAACCTATATAAACAAAAGCTTTTTTGGGGTCCTCAAAAATTTTTATTTTTATTTTAACTTTTTTATTGATTTCAGAGAGGAAGAGAGAGGGAGAGATAGAAACATCAATGATGAGAGAGAGTCACCGATCAGCTGCCTCATGCACGCCCCACAATGGGGATAGAGCCCACAACGCCTGCATATGCCCTGACCGGGAATTGAACTGTGACCTCCTGGTTCATAGGTCAACGCTCAACCGCTGAGCCATGCCGGCTGGGCAAAAGTTTTTATTCTTATAAAGGATCCTGAGACTAAAATATTTGAGAATCCTTGCTTATAGCATTCTGATCTCTATGACTTAACCTGGACTCTCTTGCAGTCTCTCACATGGGAAGGTATGTAAGATATGGAACAAGAAGCGGTAGAT